TATTTTTCTCCTCCCTTTATCAAACTGTTTCCCCCCCCTGTTTTAATCATAAATTAATACAATTTAGTGAGGTTTATGCTTAAAACAAGAATTTTAACAACCAATTTGCCAATGCAATGTAAGAAAAATTTACTTAATTTGGGATACATTATCCAAACTAAATATTTAACTATTTTGCTTCTCAAGTAAATGCATCTTGGTTTAACAACGTTCAGATATTTTACTGAAAAATATACATGACTTTTTCTATGTCTCATGAATGGGTCAGGATAAGTATAAATAAAATAAATATTATCTACTGCAAATACTGTATATAAACACATACTATAATACATCATAAAATAAGCCAAACACTAATGCATGTACTGTAGTAGTCATACTGAACTCCTGGTAGGGCACATGCATTAAAGATTGATAGTGACAACAGCTGAATATATAGAAGAAGCTGTTTTGTGCCCTGCAATTGTACAAAGGCAGGACGAAGGATCTTGTCTTTGCTTGGAAGAGAGCGAGCAGCAAGGCACAGAGAACTTCAAACAGTAAACGTGAGAACATCAAATGTTAAGGGATTATGGCTCTGCAAAACCAAGAGCCTAAGAGAGAGAGAGAGAGAGAGAGAGAGAGAGCGAGAGAGAGAGATGAAGAGAGGGAGTGACACGACGAGCAGAACAACAGAGGAAATATCAGCCTCCACATGATGCCAAACCATCGATTGAAATTTAGGTGCTTCTTTCTACTGCTTCTTGGGATTTTACCCTCATTCTTTCAAATCTAAAACAAAAGTGATCAGTATTATTTATTTAAATGTACGAGGCCTGTATCTGTTAAAACCAATGAACGTTTGAATTTCTGCAAGGTTTATTAAAGATATACAAGCTATATATATATATATATATATATATATATGAGAAGATATTCTGAAAACTTTTGGTAACCAAATTGTTTCAGTTCCCACTGATTTCCATTGTATGGAAAAAAGTATAATGGAAGTCAATGGGAAATGAAACTTTAGTGTCACAGAAGAAAGAAAATCATAACAGGTTTAAAATGACATGAGGGTGAGCAAATTACCATAGATTGTTTTTTCATTTTTGTGTGAACTATCACTTTAATTTGATTAGTCAACATAATGTCATCAAATTAATCACAATATTTAATCAACTGACATCTCTATTTTTCATGTATTTTCATTCAAAAGTTTGGGGGCTGGTAATTTTTTTAATGTTTTTGAAAGAAGTCTCTTTTTTTTTTTTTATCACAAAGACAGTAAAACAATATGATTGTGAAATATTATTACAATTACAAATAACTGTTGTCTATTTTAATATATTTTAAAACTGTAATTTATTCCTGTGATGCTAAAGCTAAATTTTCATCAGCCATTACTCCAGTGTCACAAGAACCTTTAGAAATCATTCCAATATGCTGATTTGCTGCTCAAGAAACATTTCTTATTATTAATGTTAAAAATGTCTGAACAACAGTGTACACACTGGGTGAAATCTTTGGGTGCGGCTTTAAGGTTTCATTTGCAAATGCAAGCATCCGTGACGCACCTTTGCGAGGCTGGTGATGAATACTGATGGCCTGCGTCTGGTAGTTTCCATCATCGTTCTGAACACATACAAGATGGGAATCCGCTCGTTCGTTGAAGCACGCTCCCATTGCCAGCACATGCTCGTTTGACTTATTCATAGCCTTCATGAGCTGAGAAAGGCGAAAGAAATGCTTGTCATGACTTTCCAAAGTAATGCATAATCCTAACACTTAATTATGTTTTTAAGGGTTTATAAGTCCTAGATGAGTGAATGACAGCTTCTAAAGACACAAGGCACTCAAGGCTTTAAATAATCCCTTCTGTGTCAAAGGTCTGCCACTACAAGTTCTGCTCTGTCAAATGCTTTTTAAACACAAGCTAAATACCAAAAGTCTTCAACAACTTGAGAAAAGGACACAAGCTGTTGTCACTCCTTCCCTTGTTCCATAGGACATTTGGCATCAATCTGCTAAATCTCAAATACACTTCGCCTGCATTCTAGTTTAAATGTGTTGCCACTAATGCTACAGAAATTCAAATAGCTTCTCTGTGGCATGTGCTAGTTTTATTCACCTCATTGTAACGGTTGCTCGGTATCTTGATGCACGTCTTCCTCACTTCCATGTCCACCACCAGCCCCTTCACCACCGGCAAGGTGTACTGGTAGTTACGGAAATCCTGTAGACATGTGAGAAAAGTCAGATGCCCATAAATGACTTGACTTGGGTTAAGGCATGTACTAAATGCAGAAGGAACAGTGAAATCAGAACACTCACTGCCAATAAGTTCATAATGGTATGACCAGTCTCTCCAAAGAGGGGTTTTCTGAAGCGAACGCTAAATAGTGGGCAGGGGTAGACTGCAACACAAGTGCAAAAGAACACTAAGCCACCAAAACTAGTCATGCTATTCAAATCAGCAGCTCACAATAAGCTCCTTCACACACCACATAACTGAAAGGCCCCATTATATAATACTGCAATTACTGTAATGTAATGTACTGTAATGTACCCACATAAACATGAGACTAGAATGTACATGGTGCTTCTTTGTGTAAGTGAGCGCACTTGCATGCCATGGCTGTTGAGAAGCTCAGCGGGAAATACATTGTTAATATATTCCATCTCCACAGGAGGCCGTGCTTACGAATTAGTGCAGAGAAATTCTCTGTGTAAGAAGAATGACATTTTCTGCATTCTAGTTTCTTAAACACCTCTTCTACAGGCATCAAAAAGAGGCCTTGCATTCTCTATTTTCTGTAAACGCACACCTCACCATGTGAAGAGGTCAAATGTAGCAATCAAGATCTTTCAATGTTCGACAGCTAAACCATTGCAAAGACCTCAAAATCAACATCAAACCACAAACTCACATCGGTATTCCGCCCCTAGGCGGAGCATGAGTCGGATGGGAAAGACCTTGGCCCAGGGGGTCTCCCACTTCTGCACCAGGATGCCAAAGAGGTAGGGTGGGTTGGGCAACGGCAGGTCCTGCAGGGTCTGGAAGGTGGGGCTAATGTAAAGGAAGCCGCCGTGTTCCTTGCTGCCCAGGAAGCTCTGAGTGAAGAAGGAGTGGCCCAGGTGACTTAACACATTTCCTGCACAGAAGGAAGTGTGGGATTAGATCAATCTCTACCACTGTGCTTAAGTTCATGCTTAAATTATTTCCAATTAGATAAAAAACTATTTAGATGGCTAAACAACTTTGCTGTCAAACGATTAATCGCAATTAATCGCATCCAAAATAAAAGTTTTTGTTTACATAATATGTGTGTGTACTGTGTATATGTATTATGTATATATAAATACACACACATGCATGTATATATTTAAGAAAAATATTAAGTTTATATATTAAATGTATTTATATATGATATAATTTATATTAATATAAATATATACAAGTAAATACATGTAAATATTTTCAAAATATATGCTGTATGGGTAACTATATACATAATAAATATACACAGTACACACACATATATTATGTAAATAAAAACGTTTATTTTGGATGCGATTAATCGCAATTAATCGTTTAGCAGCACTACCATAAATAATAATAATAATAATGTTGTTGTTATTAATAATAAATTGCATATGTTCTGAACTGTTGTGGTCTAATGGGTATTTAGTTATTATTGCATCAAAAAGCAGCAATAAAATAGTATTAAAAATCTACTTTGTATATCACTTATAAGACAAATCATCTGTATCAGTATAAAACAATCTCAATTAATAGCTACAATAAAAAACATCCAAGATGATAGACAGACTTACATGTTAATTTTGTCTATATTTTATTCACAAGTAGAGTGGTTGCATTCAATCACAAATGAGCTATTTCAATATTTCTTTTGCATTTTGATGGTTATTAGTGAATATTTTTGTTAGCTTTGCAACATTTTGCTAGATTATTTTGCCAGTCTAGTACTACCATTTTGTGAAGAGTTGCTGCCTATATAGAATGTAAAGATCTGTGAAATAACATCTGTGGAATTTCTTGAGGGCAAAAGTGACTAAATTGCATCCAATGAAAATAACAATTTTGAAATCTTGAAATTCCCATTTGCGTGCATTCCTACTGAACCAGAGCTAAATGTGACCACTGCTTTATGAAGTCCAATTTAATTTAGGATGTTGACTGTTGACAGAGCTTTGGATTGTAGTACTAAAATCGCTACAGCTCATAATGTTTCACTCCAGTAGAACAAAAAAAAATTCATGAGAGTTCTTCAGCATTGGCCACTACGTACCCTGATGGCCATTTAACCTGGTGATTATTAACCTCTGCAAAATGTAAAAAAAAACCTCTCCAAAAACATTAAAAACAATTTTAAAAAAAATGTGAAGATACATTGTTATAGGACAAATTAAATTAAAAAAAGAATTTGAAAATTGTGTTTTAAGATAATTTATTTTTCTTTATAAGCCCTATCTAAAGGGCCAAACATGCCCACAGTTAAAGAAACACCCATGAACAAATATTTCACAAAGTCACACCATTAGCACATTAAACCCTAGAGAACATCTTAGCAAGGAGTGGCTTACTCACAATTGACCAGTTTGACCATGGCCAGCAGGTTGGCGTTGAGGACAAACACCAGGGGATCAGGGCCGCCCTCCTCAAGCTGCTGCATCAGCACAATCTCAGAAGGTCTTTCCTCCACAGCATAGTCTGCAGACAAGACACACAATATCAATACTGTAACTATCGACCAATTGATCCATGAATCTATTCTGTTTCCTCTCATGGTACAACCCAGATGAGGAACCAACCCAATGAAAGTCCTCCCTTAGCATGAGTGGTGAAGAAATAAGCAGAAACACAGATCCATGCACACAGACATGCACAAACAATCACAAATACTCATATTTAGAGGAGTGGAGGCAGCTGAATGGTGAGGATGGGCAAGCACCTGTGATGTGGCCTCCCGTACCTCCTTTGACGCCTGTGGAGATGAGGATGGGAGGAAGTCCATCCTCTGGGATCAGACTGAGAGAGCTGCCCACAGGGCTGGCCATCGGAGCGCCAGTGGCACGGGCCGCCTATGGCAGGGGAGGAGAAACTTATACCGCAACATAAAACGACCGTCTCAGGACAACAATCACGTTCAGAAACAAGCTTATGCTTGTAAAACTCCATATTATAGATGATTCAAAAACAGTTTACTGAGTTTGAATGTGATAAAGCAAACTGTCACCTCAGAAGCATTGGCTCCTGAGGATTTGTTTGAGTACTGGGACGCTGCCACAGGCTGTGTGGGGTTGGGGTTTGCCGCCGGCCCTTTAGAAGAGTCTGTAGCTTCCCCATTTGGTAAAATGCCGTCAGCAAACCAAACCCTTCTTTGCTCTCGAGGAACAGAGCCTGGAAGTACACACACACAATGAGGCTTATGAATAGCTAATTCTGGACTTTAAACAGCATGAAAAGCAGTGTTCAAATTCAGTGTAGAGTTAAGGGACCGGTCACATATAAGAACAAACAGTCCTGCAGATTTGCTTTATTCAACATCAAGAAGATCAGGCTCTTTCTTTCGGAACATGCTTCACAACTCCTTGTTCAAGCTCTTGTTCTGTCCAGGCTGGACTATTGCAATGCTCTCTTGGCAGGTCTTCCAGCCAGTTCTATCAAACCTTTACAATTAATCCAGAACGCGGCAGCAAGATTTTTTATAATGAGATCATTTTTAATGAGCCGAAAAGAATGCACGTCACACCTCGGTATATCAATTTGCACTGGCTACTAATAGCTGCTCGCATAAAATTCATTCAAGGCATTGATGTTTGCCTACAAAACCACCACTGGCTCTGCACCCCTTTACCTAAATTCATTACTTCAGAGTTATGTGCCCTCTAGAAGCTTGCGTTCTGCAAGTGAACGTCGCTTTATTGTGCCATCCCAAAGAGGCACAAAATCACTTTCACTGACTTTTAAATTAAATGTTCCCTCCTGGTGGAATGACCTGCCCAACTCAATCCGAGCAGCTGAGTCCTTAGCCATCTTCAAGAATCGGCTAAAAACCCATCTCTTCCATCTTTATTTTGACCCTCTAACTCTAGCACTCTCTATTCTAATTCTATTCTTTAAAAAAAAGCGCCCCTTTTAGACTTGCACTCTCTTTATTTACTAACTGCTTGTTTTCTTTAAAAAAAAAACTAACACTACCTTCTCTAATCTTTTTGTATTTTATCTATTTGTTTTCTTTTTATTTATTATACAATTAACAAAAGCAAAAAAGGCCTCTAACACTAGCTTGCTCTATTCTATCGGTTTTCTTTTTATTTATTATATAATTAAAAAAAAAAACTTGCTACGTGTACTGCGTTAAGCTGTAACTGAGACTGCGACTTGTTATAGCACTTGCATATCATTGCTCTTTTGCTGATTTTGATTGCTTCCATTGTCCTCATTTGGACATCATGTACCAATGTACAGACAAAAAGATGCTGAAGATGCTGAGAACTCATTTCTGAGTAATTTATGATTGAGTTTTAGGGAATGACAACAGTTAGAAGTTAGTGAAGTTAGTGCAT